GTGCATAGCGAGGTGTATCGTTGAGGTACGGCATGAAGGGTGCATGTCGAGGTGTATCGTGGAGGTACGGCATGAAGAGTGAATGTAGAGGTGTATTGTAGAGGTACGGCATGAAGGGTGCATGTAGAGGTGTATTGTAGAGGTACGGCACGAAGGGTGCATGTCGAGGTGTATCGTGGAGGTACACCATGAAGCGTGCATAGCGAGGTGTATCGTGGAGGTACGGCATGAAGGGTGCATGTAGAGGTGTATCGTGGAGGTACGGCCTGAAGGGTACATGCAATGGTAACCTGAAATCATTATATACTCATAATACATGAGGAAAGTCCAGCAAATATACATTTACTATAGACAAATGACAGAATACCTAGTCGTGACTATCGTCGGAAACAAATTCCGTTTTTTGGTAAAGGGAAGAATAGCTGTGTACATGGATTTCAGGAAATGTATATTTATTCTTATGTATGTATATTTCTGAATGGAGATTGAATTGTTTTACTTTGAATCAATGAAAACTGATGGGACGATTAAATGGGACCACATGCAATCAAAGTCTGTGGAACTAAAAGTCAAGCTGCTACCTTCACAGCTATTCAATTGTTCATGATTTTCTTCAAAGTCATTTCCTTTTATATTGAATGGGCCAGCAAGTAAGCTGATTCAATATTTGGGATAATGAGACTGAGGTGTTTCTGAAGGATAATTTTGGATGTCATTCTACAAGGTTATTTATAACTGAAATTATCTTGGGCAGGACGTGTTCATTGGATTGTGAGTTTATAGTAGCAAAAAGACACTGTAAATAGTAATAGAAAGCTCAGTGAAATTGAACACATGTTGAGTATATAGCGTTTTTGACACTTAAGTGATGATGTACGCATTTTTCATGAATGGCTGAGCGTTGCAGAGTGTCGACAGTGAGTAATGTTTCATGGGGGATTAGAATTAGACCAATATGACATTTACAGATTTTAGCTGTGTTGGCCGGTTCCTATGGTAAGTCCAGTCGCTGTGAAAACGTATCGGAACACCCAAAGCTTACAGAATATCAATGTATCTGCCTTTTGTCTTTCAGGCATGTGTTGAGCCGGACGTTATTTACCCAACGGCCTTGAACCCTGTCCATCGACGGACGCCAGGACGTAAACCATGTGAAACTTGTCCTGCTCCTGAAAAGCGCTTAACGTAAGATAGCAATCACTCATGTATCTGAGATATCGCATCGTGCCGGTATATGTTTCCTTGAAGCGCTGCCAAGCTGCAGTGTTCGCACGTAAGTAGGGACAGATAACTCTAACCAGTTGCTGTGGGCAACAGTAGACATTTTATTAGCCAACAACAAGTCAATCATTTACCGTCATTGACAATCAGTACCAATGTCTACAACAATTAAATGTCTTTTAACACAACATTCAGGGTTATACTGATATTGCCTGACGTATTATTCACTACCAATATGTTAAAACAATCAACTATCACATAACACAACATGCAAAGATATTACAATATTGACACAAGCTGTGTCAACCATGTCAAATGTCCTTCAGCATGTCGTCATAGTTACGTTTCTTGAGGACAACTGGAAGTGGAAAATGTCGAGACTGAATTTGGCTACTGGCAGCATTGTCACAGGACGTCTTGAAACTGGAAAGTCCCAGTTTGCAGTTGAAGGTCATTTCAACCTGAATCATGGAATCGGTGCCGCGGCTACCGCCTCAATTCTAACCCAAGATTGTTCAAGAAGTGCTAGACAAAGAGTTACCACCTATTCAAAAGACGGCTGCATCCGGGTCTCTCCTTTTGTTATGTGGTTGTGTTATTTATTGTGCACCAATGTTCCATGTGTAACAATTCTACGTTATAGTTAGAATCTATGTAGATAAATCTTAGTGATTAAGAAGGGGCGAAGCCACTAAGATTTCTCTACATAGATTCTAACTGACTTAGAACTCCACCTACTTTTGATCGACAGTTATGAAGTGACGTCACTAGCATGGTCATATGCTACGTAATTTCTTTACCTCACAAATTCAAATGTGCGCTCTGAAGTTTAGAGCCATGGACAAGCAGTCCGATTTCGCGAATTCTGATTTGCTGTTTGACGAACTTTTCAACAATACTGACTTTGAATGTACACAAACTGCAAGTCTAGCCCAGTTGCTGTCTATTCCATATCAAGATTTTGTAAAACATGAGGAAAGCGACTGTCGTTTCGCATCATCTGTATCATCCTATGATATCTAACAAGAACAAAAGTAAGCGAAGAAAACGCGACAAAACAACCAGTGGGCATTAAATGTTTGGAAAGACTGGGTGTAGTACCGAAATCAGCATGCTTCAACTCTCTTAGAATTTGGTGTAATTCCAGGGAATATTTCTGCGTTGAATAACCGAGACCTTGATTTCTGCATGCAACGTTTCATTCTTGAAATACGGAGAAAGGACAATTCGCCGTTTCCCCCTAACACATTGACACAAATCGTATCGGCGTTACGAAGACACCTTCAGCAAGACTGTGGCAGTCACATGGACCTCACGTCAATAAAACATGAAAACATTGTTTATGTGTATCTTTTGCCCAATCGGCAGCTTGCTAAATGCCCGCTGAATGCCGAGTTCTTAATCATTAAGAGCCTATTGACACAGGGAAATGGGAACCTTTGATTGGTTTAAAAAGTAGGTTGAGTTCTAGGTATGGATAGTCAGTGAGAGGCAGTGGCGTGCTTTATTAAGACTTGTGCTATATTTAGACTTGTGCTATATTTAGACTTGTGCTACATATAGACAAACTTCAGGAAGGTACTACACGGTACTCCGAATATATATAAGCCTTTCCACTATATTCTGACCAGGGTGAAGGAGAATCTTCTGGTGTATCTTTCTTAGGGACATATGGGCAGCTAAGACTTGTGCGGAGAAATTCTCACCCTAAATACTCAGCATGGGCCTAAGTTTGGAAACTCCATCATTGCTGCTATGAGGTGAATATTACACTCTGTCTGTATTGCTGTAATCACTGCTTTTGAATTTGCCAGTCATTTTGTACTGCCACTGTAATCCCTTTGAGGTGATTTGTAAGCTTAGTTTATTTTAGAATATAATTGCTAATTACATCCCATCATTTAGTGGTTTGTTGGTGTCACACAGAGTACAGGCTGATTCCCGGTTATGTACTGTCTTTGTCTCAACGTTGGTGTCACACAGAGTACAGACAGGCTTATTCCTTGTTAAGTACTGTGTTAGTCTCAACGTTGGAATAAACACGTAACAGTTCTCACGCCACCAAGACTGTCACACATGTGATAAATGTGGGAACCTGGAATGTGACCTGATGAACGAACGCTTTAATCTCCAGGTTCTGGAGAGTACAAGATCATAGTAGATACAATATCCATATGTGGAATAGAAGCAAGGCGTGCAGCCTAATGAGCGAACACTTAAACCACAAGGCTACCTCTTGGTTCTACAGAGAAAACAAAATCTGATTATACCCTTATACAGATAGAAGCTAGGCCTAATGTCTGTCTAGCAAACACTTTAACCACTGGGCTACCATTGAGTCTATGAGAACATTACACAAGTCGTACAAAGTGTGACAATGAGAAATATGATCGTCAGAGCGCGTTCGAGAACGATGGTCAGCTGTTTCCATTCATATGTAGCCTCGGCAAGACTGTCTTGTGATGTGATCCTCCTCTTGTGTAGATCCATGGCCTTCTCTACCGTGTGGAGCAGTCGGTTGAGAACACCCACCACGTTATTCCCTCCACCGGGCTGACCCTCCGTCATAGTGGGTCCTGGTTTGTCTGCATCCGTAGCCTCGTCATCAGCAGGAATTAGGACCTGTGTGTTAAAATCAAGCAATTAATTCCGGGAAACACAAATAAATACTGGTCACGCTTTCAGTATCAGTCCAGGTTTCCACCAACCAAAATAAACTATTTCTGATATTATCACAGAAGGAACATTAAACATACCATGTTCTCGTCGGTAGACTCCGGCAGGTCTATTTTGATGAAGAGGATCCTCGCAAGAATATTAAAGCACACAGTTTTTACAAGCCGTGGGAGTCTGTGTCCTCTCACCCCTCGGTAATGGATATTCACAGTGAACACGGCCAGACCAATACTCAGAGACACGATGACGATGTTGATCGCAAAGTACCGACCTACAGGTGAAAAGCCGATATTAAAGACATTTGATGGGGAGAATGCCAGTGTGATTCCCAGAAACAAATTCCATTGCTCTACATGGATACATTATGACAATCAATGACAAGCAACGCACTCACTCACTCACTCACTCACTCGCTCACAAATGATATGTATGCATTTGATGGGGAGAATGCCAGTGTGATTGCCAGAAACAGATTCCATAGCTGTACCCGCATAAATGATTATTTTATGTTGTAAAGCCGCACCACCAAATTGTATGGAGTATAGTATAGAGTGTACATTTTGCATCAATATAGCACAAATATACTATCAATATAGTATAATAGAATAAGTAATATATATAATGTATATATATATATATATATATATATATATATATATATATATATATATATATATATAGTTTCAATGTAGGCTTAATGTAGTATAAATGTTGAAATAACATAGTATATATATATATAGTTGAATGTTGTTTTAATGTAGTATAAATGTAGTAATAATATAGTATATATATAGTTTGAATGTTGATGTTTTGATGCAGCATAAATGCTTTATAATATAGTTTGAATGTTGTTTTAATGTCAGCATAAAAATAGTATAAATGTAGGGTACGTATGGCTTACTTTAACATATGTTAGAAATGTCACTCACTCACTCACTCACAAATTCAATTTATATTTTCTAGTATTCTTTTAAACCGGGGGCACATAATTGTGGTCGTCTGTTGAGGAGCCATCACTGAACAGGGCAACAACAAGATGAGCGAGTTAAACCTACTTCATTCACTCACTGAAACAATTTAAAACAAGAAACAACACAACGTACCAATTAGAGGAATCGCAAGCGACGTCGGTGGTAGCAATGTTGAAATAACAAGCAACAACGCTATCATTGCCAGAAGAGAAGTGATTCCAATAGATATTTTCTCTCCAGATTCGTTCGGCACCAGGAGTCCCAGCACAGCCACCAATGTGATGATGAGGCAGGGCATCATGAGATACATCAGGAAGAACAGGGGCCGTCGTCTCAGGGTCATTGTGTACAATAATGTAATGTAGGGCTCCGGGCAACATGTGTAATGCAGGACCTGCCGGGCGTTTGTATATGAGATCAGCACCCATTCCGCATTGGGAATGTATTCAGATAAGGATGCTGCCCCTTGTTCACCATTTGAGATATTGAGTTGATCGCCATTGTATGTCCACGACTCGAACATCATCCGGCATTCTTGTTGGTCCATGGGAAAGGATGCAACGTCGATTATACACGACGTCTTCAAGATGACCTGGTAGTGCACAACTACGTTTCCACTTGACCTCAGAATGGCGTTGTTTATTCCGCTTGTCGATATTTGATTACCTTCGGCTCTGCACCGGAAGTGAATATAAATTACCAAACACTTTCAGTCTATATATGTAAATAGATTAAGAGGCTTCAAACAAGCCGTTAACTTTGAGCACTGAGGAATGTATGTGTTCAGACATATCTAATATATACTTCAGTCACTTTACCTCGACCGATAGCATTACCCCCCCCCCCTCTCTCTCTCTCTCTCTCTCTCTCTCTCGCTCTCGCTCTCGCTCTCGCTCTCGCTCTCGCTCTCGCTCTCACTCTCACTCTCACTCTCACTCTCACTCTCATTCTCACTCTCACTCACACACTCACACACACAATGTTCATATGAGCGACAAAATGATGATACAGTTCATTACAGAATGCATAGTCCTTAAATTCTTGCATTCTGCAACTTAATTAAGATTCATATTGGTATTGCCAGAAGTCACCCAATCAGCAGGTAGACGTGTTTGTAGAGCTGTGTGTTACCCGTAGCTTATTGGCGGCGGGAAGATGAACCAGTCCCGGCACCAGTCCATTATTATAATTTTTGCGAATGGATCCAATTTTGACGATTTGAAACTTCTGAATGGTCAACCACACACTAAGGCTTAACATCATTTCAAACAAGTGTTGTCTTAATCGATATCTAGTTTTGTTTGCTATTTGAGGCTATTACCTTAAATAACATCTTATTCAAGCCAAGAAGCTAACATTAGTATAGGCTATCATTATGGTAATGTAATAACAATAGTTTAAAATAAATTGTTTAGAGAGGAATACCACTTTGTTCAAGTAATATTATGTACAGAGAATCAAGAACACGCCAAAAATGATCTATTTCTAAAATACTTTCATCATAATACACGCAATGATTACCAGGGTGGTACGGATATAAATATATTTGACAAACATTCCATTCACAGTAGGATAACTAACATTATTTTAAACTAGCTATATTTTATTACGCTGCAAAGTCTGATTCCGTTAAAACATTATGTTTTCATGGATATAAATCTACGTCCAGGATGAACTACTTTAAGAATACTCTCATCATAATACATATTTTAATTGACATCAGGAGGTACTTACGAGTTTTTAATTCTCAAGTCAGGCGTCCATATGGCGTCAGCTGGGACACGGATCTCTGTTACGTTCTTATGTTTTTCTGGTTGCCATGCTAATGATGCATCCTTCCATCTCTAGGAAAAGATGACAAAAATATACCTCAATTTATGTGTTATTGAGTATTATTGCTTTAAGTCTGGTTTGTACAGTAATCCTTACATCTGCAGAAGTGGAATTAGCTTTGGTAGCAAAATACCAATAAAGGTCTTTAAGAACACATTATCACAGATCTACTTGCTGTAACCAGGATCATCACTCCACATGTTCTCACCTCAATGCTTTTGGCCCGGATGTGGGGTAGGAGTGATGTGTGTGTACTTGCTTAAGATATGGGGTTGTATCTAACTTTCACATGCACAGAGCAATATACTTGTGCAAATCAACCGCTGCCTTTAACTGAAGCAGTGTGTTGAGAAGATAAAAGCTGAGCACACGTTTCACACAATACATTGCCCTGTGTGAGATGTGTTATTGGTCTGTGGCAAGCCTATTGTTGGTTTCGGGTACATAGTGACAGATACGGCGTAAAACCCATCTCTCTCACTCACTGACGCATACGTACCAAAGATATCCAGCAGTTTGTAGTTAGCACTTGCTTTTTCTCGTCCTACAATAATTGAAAAGGGATTATGACGTCATCAGCTCGTAACACTCCATATTTAAAAATCAACCAAAGTAAACAAAGGGCTTTATTTTTGGTTTATTTCTGAAAGCTGAATCATTTTAAAACTACAAATATATTAAGTAGATCAGCAATGATGTCCTGTACTACCTTCTTTCAGTATATAACCTTCACATATCATTTATCATGTTCTTAGTGTTTTTCCGGTTTATGAAAACGAATTTCACATATTAGCTTGTGAAGCTTTCTCTGCCTGCCAAAAGAAGTATTCAAATGTGCAAATGATTCCACACAACGATGTATAATCTACTTAATTGTTATAATGTTGATATTATCAAATCTGTTGCAATTTTCATAAAGCATTTGATGTCCATTCTAAAATCCATCCTTGATAGTCTCCAGGGTAAATGTTCCAACGAATCAAAACTTGTACCCTGGATGCATCTGCGGCACGGCCCGATAACTGTATTACCTCCCTTTCTTGCTCCGCCTTCTCACAGTAGCCAATCAGATAAGCCGTTACAACCAAGCTTGTCAGTGTTAACAAAGATGGCGGACGCAGCCGCGAAGGTTTACTCGCTGTGCGACTCAATTTTAGGGAAAAAATAATACAGACAAATTGACAGGTTTGAAACTTTCAAAACATATATGCAAGATCTCCTTCTACCTCTTTCAGGGTACCTCTGTAAAAATTGTGTTGCCAAGTTTAATCAGTTAGATAAAGGAAGCAGAAGCGAGTTATTATGGAAGCCTTGTGATTGGTACGCTCAGGTTCCCAGCGTAGACACTTGATTGGATAAATCACCAGCAAAGGGAAGAATAAATACATTTATCAGGCAGAGCCGTAGATGCATCCAGGGTGCTAGTGGAGATTTATCGGAACGTATAGCATGGAGATTATCCAGGATGTATTAAATCACGTGTAAAATCTAATGTCACGTGACCAAAAATTGTCATTAAACATCTTCAGTTGTACTTTGGGCCACTGGGTTTCACCTACTGAATAATACCTGTCTGTCTGTCTGTAAACACATCACTTTTTGTCTTGACAATTTCAATATTAAATGTAAACATATCACTCTTTCTCTTCCACTGTTCAATATAAAACGTAAGCATGCCGCTTGTTCTCTTGAACTATTCAATATGTAACGTAAATATATCACTATTTCTCTTGAGGTATTCAATATATAATGTAAACATGTCACTATTTCTCTTGAACTTTTTAATATATAATGCATTTAATGCCTAATCCATTATCCATCGTAAATGTTCTAACTGTGGTCAGGTATACTTACGATACCAGATATCTCGACAAGGGTGAGGTCCATCCTCACATCCAGGGTGGTGTTAGGACCAAAGGGTTCAACACGTTTGTCGTAAGTTCGAAACAAATCAGCAACCAGGCTTTGTTTGGGATTGCAAGCTGCAGAGGCTGACAACAGAACAATCTCGGGGATAAACAGGCAAAACCACCCAACGGGACAATATAAAAACTTAACAAAAGACGTGAAACAACAGGACATGAGCGGGGATAGACAGGAGACGTGAAACAACAGCATAACATCAGGTGTAAGGAGATCGGAAACAGTGATATACAAGAGACGTAAAACAACATAATAACATCAGGTGTAAGGAGATTGGAAACACAGGGATATACAAGAGATATGAAACAACAGCATAACAGCAGTAGTAATGAGATCGGAAACACAGGGATATACAAGAGATATGAAACAACAGCACAACATCAGGTGTAAGGAGATCGGAAAGAAGGGATATACAAGAGATATGAAACAACAGCACAACATCAGGTGTACGGAGATCGGAAACAGTGATATACAAGAGATATGAATCAACAGCACAACATCAGGAGTAAGGAGATCAGAAACACAGGGATATACAAGAGACATGAAATAACAGAATAACAGCAGTAGTAATGAGATCGGAAACACAGGGATATACAAGAGATATGAAACAACAGCACAACATCAGGTGTACGGAGATCGGAAACAGTGATATACAAGAGACATGAAACAACAGCACAACATCAGGTGTAAGGAGATCGGAAAGAGGAATAACAAGAAACGTACGAAAACAGCATAACATCAGGTGCAAGGACATCGGAGACACAGGAATATACAAGAGACGTAAAATAACATAATAACATCAGGTGTAAGGAGATTGGAAACACAGGGATATACAAGAGATATGAAACAACAGCATAACAGCAGTAGTAATGAGATCGGAAACACAGGGATATACAAGAGATATGAAACAACAGCATAACATCAGGTGTAAGGAGATCGTAAGCAGGGATATACAAGAAACATGAAACAACAGCACAACCTCAGGTGTACGGAGATCGGAAACACAGGGATATACAAGAGATATGAAACAACAGCACAACATCAGCTGTAAGGAGATCGGAAACACAGGGATATACAGGAGACATGAAACAACAGCACAACATCAGGAGTAAGGAGATCAGAAACACAGGGATATACAAGAGACATGAAATAACAGAATAACAGCAGTAGTAATGAGATCGGAAACACAGGGATATACAGGAGATATGAAACAACAGCACAACATCAGGTGTAAGGAGATCGTAAGCAGGAATATACAAGAAACATGAAACAACAGCACAACCTCAGGTGTACGGAGGTCGGAAACAGGGATATACAAGAGATATGAAACAACAGCACATCATCAGGAGTAAGAAGATCAGAAACACAGGGATATTCAAGAGACATGAAACAACAGCAGAATATCAGGTGTAAGGAGATCGGAAAGAGAGGGATATACAAGAGACATGAAACAACAGAATAACAGCAGTAGTAATGAGATCGGAAACACAGGGATATACAAGAGATATGAAACAACAGCACACCATCAGGAGTAAGGAGATCGGAAACAAAGGGATATACAAGAGACATGAAACAACAGCATAACATCAGGTGTAAGGAGATCGTAAGCAGGAATATACAAGAAACATGAAACAACAGCACAACCTCAGGTGTACGGAGGTCGGAAACAGGGATATACAAGAGACATGAAACAACAGAACAACATCAGGAGTAAGGAGATCGGAAACACAGGGATATACAAGAGATATGAAACAACAGCACACCATCAGGTGTAAGGAGATCGGAAACACAGGGATATACAGGAGACATGAAACAACAGCACAACATTAGGAGTAAGGAGATCGGAAAGAGAGGGATATACAAGAGACATGAAATAACAGAATAACAGCAGTAGTAATGAGATCGAAAAAAACAGGGATATACAAGAGATATGAAACAACAGTACAACATCAGGAGTAAGAAGATCAGAAACACAGGCATATTCAAGAGACATGAAACAACAGCAGAATATCAGGTGTAAGGAGATCGGAAACAGGGATATACAAGAGACATGAAACAACAGAATAACAGCAGTAGTAATGAGATCGGAAACACAGGGATATACAAGAGATATGAAACAACAGTACAACATCAGGAGTAACGAGATCGGAAACACAGGGATATACAAGAGATATGAAACAACAGCACACCATCAGGTGTAAGGAGATCGGAAACAAAGGGATATACAAGAGACATGAAACAACAGCACACCATCAGGAGTAAGGAGATCGGAAACACAGGGATATACAAGAGATATGAAACAACAGCACACCACCAGGTGTACGGAGATCGGAAACAGTGATATACAAGAGACATGAAACAACAGCACACCATCAGGAGTAAGAAGATCGGAAACACAGGGATATACAAGAGATATGAAACAACAGCACACCATCAGGAGTAAGGAGATCGGAAACACAGGGATATACAAGAGATATGAAACAACAGCACAACATCAGGTGTAAGGAGATCGGAAACACAGGCATATACAAGAGACATGAAACAACAGCACAACATCAGGTGTAAGGAGATCGGAAAGAGAGGGATATACAAGAGACATGAAATAACAGAACAACAGCAGTAGTATTGAGATCGGAAACACAGGGATATACAACAGATATGAAATAACAGCACAACATTAGGTTCAAAACAACTGAACAACAACACGTTAAAAATAGTAACCGCCTTATATCTTAAACATTCAATTACTTTTGACACCAAATATTCGCTTAAACCAGTGACTAGTCTTCATACAGACCCTGAAACAAATGTATCCAAGAAACCCCATGCAAGTGTATAATATGTGGCAAGTCTAGATTTCTACTGTTTCAGAAGAAAGTATCTGGGCTCCTTCATGATATTGTATGATTGTAATTTAGGAACTGGTTTTCTTTCTTTAAAATATGTTCATTTCAGAGACTAGATGTTAGTCTAACCAGTGACCAATCAGCTGTTTCCCTTAACAGTGCCAGGGTCCAATTAGGGATGTTCAGAAGCCTACACAGGACCAAAAACCGGATAGTAAACCATTGAAATAAACGTAAATACAGTAGGAAATACATGCCATGACCGGATGTACGTATGTTTTCAGATATTTCCTAACTTCGGGCATATATTTCGTATGAATCTATACCTTTGAAACATATGCTTATCGTACATTTTCGTATGCACAAGAACCTCGTTCATGTATGCCATGACCGGATTGTCAGGTATTTCCAAACATGAATTGCAAAACAGATACCCCAGGAAATATATGATCTTACAGTATTTCTGATGCATTCCTTTGAATTTCAATGGGTGCTGAAATTTAAGTTTACCCAGGTTGGAAACATGTAAATTTACTTAAGTGGGGAAACACTTGTAAATTTTCACATGTGCAAATGTTTACACACCTTAGATATTTATGTATCATACCGGATTTCAGGGGTATGTATATGAAAGGTTCATACACCTTCATGTTACCTGTGCTCAAGCAAGGTGATCATTTGTTTCCATCATGTGAATCACTTGGTTCATGTAATTTCATTTTCACACATTTTAGTACGTTTGAAATCAACGTTCACGTGACGTCATCATTCTTATCATCAAAAGAGCCTGACTAAGAAAGTGGTATTACGCAAGCTAACATGGCTTATTAAGCTGCGCTCGCACTTGTTGCCAGTATCAGTTACGCTTTGTCTGCGGTGTTGGCACATTTTGTGAGTGGTGAACAAAAGGGCGATGAGCTGCCCCTTCGTCCTTGCAAGTGTCCCTAGCTGTCCCAACAGAATAGCACTTTATCTCTCTTGTAGTCTGTCTCACAGTCCCTGAACCACATTATTTTCCCTGCTGCCAAGCCATCTCTGCAGTGCTAAAGCCCTAAATAAAGCAAGTCTAGATTTCCGCAGGGTCTGTATCTCTAGTCTCCCTGGGGCGCCTTTCCTTTTAAATAGGCTTGTTTGTTACTATCAAAATTATATATATTCAGAGACTAAGCATTAGTCTATCTCTCTTTCAGCACGGCCAAATACGCTACACAAACCAACTCGTAATTTCTTAAGTCTCTTCAGTTCGCGCATCAGTACTGTAAAACAAGTTTTGGCAGTACAGAATTGGAATATTATTGCACTGCATGTGACCTTTCTTAACAGTCTCACAGTACCTGAACCATGTTATTTCTCCTTCCGCTCAGCCTTTGCTGTAATAACGCCACACAAAAAATAGTTTTTATCGTGTAGCGATTATGTCCGGATGGCACAGGCGGGTGCGTTCTCTGAGTATACCATTGGCATGTTGGGCCTCTGTGCCTTTTCTAAACTTTGTCTTGATTGTCCTGTTTAAATTGACGATCCATAAACCCAGAGTCCGAAAGCAAATGTCACACAAGTAAATGTGATGTTGCATTGCTGCAATTTTCCATGTCGGAGAAGTCCTTCTAACAAGATATATATTCCGTTGTTTGGAGCAGGCCTATGACTATTATGCAGCAGTTTTGCTAAACATCTTGCAGACCTTTAACCTGACATAGACGCAGACCTCGCATGTTCAAGTTCAGATCTGACAGGTGCCGAAAATATTGATTCCGGCAAGAATGCAATATCTCAGTGGGTTATTGTTTTCCTAAGTACGTGGAGTGCTTTCTACAACATTGGAGATAATGGTATCGTTTTCTTCCTGATATTCCCCCGAACGGAAGCTCTACCCATTTATGGTACAATGTGTAAGTTACAGATTTGTAGGGAATAGTCTTAAGACTTTTCTACTTTGACCAGGATTCTTCGAACTTGCAACAGTCGTTTGAGAAGATCAAGAGAGAAAGGGGTAGTGTGCAATGTATCTGGCGGACGTATATGGAAAAAGTTCGAAGAATGTTTCTGTATAAATACAATAATAGAAATACCGGTTATGTTTGAAACGTACCCTCAATCTGATAGCCAGTGAGATTATTGTGAAAGATCGCAATATGTATCATCATAAACGGGCCCAGATAAAAGTACATGTCATTCATTCCCACATTATATCCCCTTTATAGACTCGGGACATGGTTGTT